CACTTATGTGACATCCCTGATGTTAATTTCTATTATTGTTCTTCATTTTGCTACTAACCGTTTGTTAGTAACCAGACTTTACTCATACCACCCTGCCTTTGTTTCTGTATCCCTATTCGTCGGTTCTCGTCATTCTTTGTTCCTTGTTCTTTGTCCACCGTCTATTGCTCTTTGTTGCCGCTCGCTTATAAACCGACCACCACACTTTGGCGTCATTCGCTGACTGCTCGTCTTATCACCTCGAATGTACGTCCACTTTTCAACTTATCCCCCGCCTTATTAACTCTACTGTGCTCCGCTAATCTTTCTATTTATTGCTATAGAACCACAAAGAATAACCGAGTTATCCCGACTGTCTTCTGACATAGCTTTGACCTCGGGTGCGTCAATTCCGGTGAATAAACCAGCACTGAATCGAGAAAATCTAAAGAATATTAATAACGTATGCATATGACAAAAACTCTGCCAACAAAACCCCACATAGCTTATTAAACATCGAGTTAATTTGCCACCTCCATTTGCAGAGGAGGATTAGCATCATGGTCTGTGATAGTTCGAAGCCGTGCACATTAAACTTTACCGTCGGTCAGAATATCTATCTGGGTGGTTCTGATAACGGAAATGCGAACATTTTGAGTATGAGTCAGAATTTATTCTGAATTCGGACAACTTTGTAGGCCAGTAGGAATTAAGCAAGCTCAGATGCTATCGGGCGTCTTCCGAGCAGTAGGCAGTACTCCAACTTCGAAATGTGAACGCGTCAGATTTTCCTTTTTTCGCGCAAAAGGAGAGTTCTGCACTTCCGAAATGCCGCGTTAAATTCCCTTCCACAAAGCACGATCGCTAATCGGCTCCTCTCATACACCGGGCCGGTTTTACGTCCTTTCCGCCGGAACACATAACCGAATGAACGTAGAGTGAATGAGTGAATGTAGACTTACTCAACATCTGCCGCACTCTCTCCTCCCCCTTACCTGGGTCCGGTGTCCAAACACAGTCAAGAAGGCCGGAGGCGAGGGGGGCGCAGGTGGATGGCTCGGACGGATCCTCACCTTGGCGTTCCACCACACCCCTGGCCCACACAACAAACAAACACAAGCACAAACACACACACAACAGGGCAGACTGCGTGGACTGAGTTGGGGCGTCAGTCAGCAGCCTTCCAAGCCACAGCGCTTGACGCGCCGTGATAGCCTCACAATCCAATCACACATACTACAGCAGAGAAGCAGCACAGATACGGAGCCGAGACGCACACTTCCCACTTGTGTGGAGGTGCTTGTGGTGGATGAAGATGTTGCGTGATGTAGGTGGAGGATGATGTGACGGTGTGATTAAGCCAGCGGTTGTCAACCGCAGATTTTCGTGAATGCGCATGTGGCCTAATAGGCACATACGGTGGATGAATGTGCAGGGGTGCACTGAGGGCATTTGAGGCGGATGCGTCTGGCGTCCGTTGGCGCTCTGGACATTAGTTCGCCAGTTTATGTGCGATGGAATCGCAAGTGACCGACCAGGCCGATGCGTGAGGTGAATGTACGGGGACTGTGTGAACTGGAAAAGTCCGCGGTGTCAGTGTCGGTTTTGGAGATGGTAGCAGTGGTGGAACTGCTGACGATGGACGCGCTGGGCAACGGGGTATGGGTTGAGTCTGGCATGGTGGATGCGCAGGATGTGCTGAGTGTGGTGGAGCTTATGGTGGTGGGTGTGCTGAGCGGCGGAGTGTGGGTTGATCCAGGCAGAGTGGATGTGCAGGAGGTGTTAGATGTGCTGAGACTGCAGTCAGTTCCGCTCTCGTGGATACGTATGTGGTCGAGTGAATGTGCGGGGGCAGTGTGAGCAGTAGAGGCGAATGCGGCGAATGTAGGTTGGTGCCCCAGGCACTGGTTCGCAAGTCTCTGTGCGATGGATTCGCAAGTGACCCGACCAGGCCGATGTGTGAGGTGAAGGTGCGGTCGCGATGAGGACAGATATGAATGGAGTCTGTATCGCTGGGGTTGTAGGTGGTGAGTCTGATGTTTGTTGGTGTGTCAGGTCTGTGTGCAGTGGTGGTGGTGGTGGGTACAGCAACAGCAGTTTCGTTTTCATTACCTGACGCCTGGTGGTTGCCTCCGCTCTGTGTGCAACTTCAACCCCAAATGGTGCGAGCAGGCGGCCGACAGCTTCCGAAATATTCTTGAAATACGGAAGCGCCCGCCAAGAATTGGTGTCCGTGCGGTTAGGCCTCTCGTCCCTTTTGCGTATGCACCGGTTGACGAATTTGCGCGGGTAGGCATTGGCTTTGAAGACCCGTAGGGGGTATTGTAGTCCGGCAATCTTGTCTCCCGTCTCACTGCGGTGCGTTTCGATACGCCGATGGAGCGTCCTTACGCAACTGCTTTTGTGGCTGATTGGGTGGTTTCTGTTGAAGTTCACTACTTGCATCGTATTTGTCGCTTTCCTGAACACTTTGGTTTTTAGTCCACCACAATCCTTGCGGCATACGAGGACATCCGGCCACACATTTAAATTCGATGAGGCCGGAATTATCGCAAGAGGTGACAACCGAGTGAGCCGGGAGCTACTGGAATCATGGTTTACTGGCCCCCAGTCCATCAAAAAGTGCAACGATCTTCCCATTCCATACTCCGTACTGAAACTTCGCCTAGGCGGGGTGACAAGCCATGCGGGGAGCGCAGAGGTGAACACTTTTCCCAACACCGGGGTCGGTGCGTCAGATGGTCGAGCAATCATCACGCCAAAATTCAACGCACGTGATGAAATTGCAGCAATTATCGACTCGAATGTCGGCCATCAAGCAGTGATCACACCACGTGCGACGATCTCGGATGAAGGGGGGAGCCGTGAACGTTCATAGGTAGGCGGTAGCATGGCTACTGCATCCTATAAATACCGCAGCCCCTTGTGCAACAACCACCCGTTTCTGCTCTTTTGTCTCTGATGATGGATTCGAGTAGGAATCCGAAACGTCAGGCTAATAAAGCTCTTGTCCCGGCGATCGTGTCTCCTTCTTCAAGACTACTTCCTGGGTCTCGTTCGATGACGACGAATGTATCATCCACATACGGGGCCGAGAACTTCGGTCTGTGGTGTTGGAAGACCAGCGACTCTAACCGTTGCAGGACCGCCTCGGCGATGAATCCCGAAATCGGCGAACCCATTGATGTGCCGTTCACCTGTTTGTAGATTGTCCCGCCGAGCGTGAATTACGTCCTAAGACAGAACTGTAGGAGCTGAAGGACTTGGGTGTGTCCAAGGCGATTCTCCATTTCATAGTATTTGCTTTGTAGAAGCAGATCGATTGTTTCGATCGCCAGGTCCTGTGGAATAGAAGTAAAAAGAGATGTAACATCGAAAGACACCATGACCTCATTTGGATGGAGGCTTACCCGTTTCAGTTTCTCCAGGAACTGTGCTGACGAAGAGACCGTGGTGTCTGACTCAGCGGTCAGGAACTTGAGACGCCGGAACAGTCACTTAGGCAGTCCGTACGCTGGAGTATCTTTGAGCGACACAATGAGGCGGAGAGGCACGCCCTCCTGCTGCAGCTTAGGGAGGCCATAGAATGGGGCAAAGCCGTATATTGGGGTCTCGCCATGCGTCCGTCGGTCGGTGTTATTGCACCTGAGTTCTCCAAGGCCAATAAAGTAGCCATAATTTCGCGTGTCGGCGCTTTTACAGGGTTCATTGCACATGAGACATAAAACTGTCGGTCCTCCAGTAAACGAAACCGCGTCTTTTGAATTCGGCTTGAAATTTTCGACCTCCGAGGGATTTACCTTTCCCGAGTCGCCTGAGTGCTGGACACCATGACAGCCTTCGGAATTAACGGGTCGATTCTTCATAGCAAAACCTCGATTCGCACAGAATTGCAAAGGGAGTTTCGTCCGGAAAACCTATCTCCTTCCGACCACATCACTGACAGCCGCATCGCGATATTCCCGAAATACAAGAACGGCTGAGTCGTTTGCTATTTACTTCATACCGTTGGTCTCGCTTAAAATCGTTTCCATACCGTTAAAACGTTTTGAGTTTATTGACTTAATAATGGTAGTCGATTCAGGGTCCTCCAGACATTGGGCAAAAACCCGTCTCGATGCGGGCGGCGGTTTCATAGATCGCTGCGCTTGTCTTTACTGTCCTACTTCAGGTCAGTCGGTCTCGAGTGAGGTCTTCCCAGTTGGCCGAGTTGATCTACAAGCGCTTCAGGGAGGTTTTCAAAGTATTCTTGTAACGACGAATTTGGCCTGCTTGCCGGCGGGAACTCGTTGCGACATCTTCGCAGAAGTCGTTTGGGTAGCCTCTCGTCGTTCATCTGCACAGGGTGGCCGTTCCAACGCAGCTGCAGCTGTCTCCGCATGGCGTGGATATTGAGGATTCCCGTCCGCTCCAGTACGTCAGTGTCGGTGCGATGCGGATTCCGGGACGTTCCTCACGGTAGGCGTCCATCAGCATGGCAGAGAACATAAGACTGAAGAGGGTAGGCGCCAACAAGCATCCCTGCTTCACTCCGTTGGTCACTGTGAATGCCTCTGAGACAGCTCCGTTGTCCGTGACGCGCGCCATCATGCCATCGTGGAGCTGACGCACCATCTGAGTGAATCGATGTGGACAGCCGAATTCCTGCATGATTTAGCACAGTCCTTCTCGAGTAACCCTGCCGAAGGCTTTCGTCAAGTCCACGAAGGTAGAATACAGGTGGGTTCGCATTTCCTGGCACTTCTCCTGAAGTTGACGGGCGGCGAAGATCATATCCGTGGTCCCGCGATGACGGCGGAAGCCGCACTGGCTTTCCGGCAGAAGACCCTGTTTTAGGTGTCTATTCAGGCGGTTGAGAAGGATGCGAACAAAGATCTTCGCGGCGATGTTCAGCAAGGAGATGCCTAGGTGATTGTTGCAGATCTGGCGGTTTCCTTTTCGTTTGTATAGATGCACGATTTTGTCGTCTTTGAAATCTTGCGGGACTTCACCTTGACTCCACATCTCCTAGAATAGGGCCTTCAGATAATCCATGAGTTGGAGGCCATCGTGCTTGTAGACCTCAGCCGGGATCGCGTCCGATCCGGGCGCTTCCGGCCGGAGAACTGTTGCACGGCCCTGATGGTTTCGTAGAGAGAGGGCGGGAGGTTGAGGTCGACGTTGGTCTCCACTAGCGGCAGTGGGACGATGGCGGAGCCGGAGATGGTGGAGGGTCGGTTGAGGACGCCTTGGTAGTGCTCGGCCCATCGCTGTAAAATTTGTTTTTTTTCAGTGAGTAGGGTAGGACCGTCGGCGCTGACATTTTGGTTGGTGGACCGTAGACAGCTTTGATCGCGGAGAAGAAGTTCTTCCATTCTTTGCGGTCCGCGTATCTTGGACATGACGAGGCGATGGTCGGACACCCGTTGGCAACCGGGATCGCATTTGTCCCCAGCGCGTCCCGTTGGTCTCGCCTCCGGACGAGGACATAGTCCAGCAGGTGCCAGTTTCGCAACTGAGGATGCCTCAAGGTGACATTCTCTCGCATCGGGAGGCGGAAGTAAGTGTTGGTTACAGTGAGCCGGTGTTTTGCGCAGGGTCATAGAAGGAGTAGGTTGTTGTCATTGGAGCCGTCGAGACCGTTGGGACCAAGCACTCCTCTCCAGGCAGTACAGTCTGTGACGACGCGGACGTTGAAGTCACCTAGGTCAGTCAACTTATCCGCCTTCAGCACAGTCGCCAAGAAGCATGCAGGTCCTCGTTGAATTTGTCCCCTTCGGCGTCAGGGTTGGTCATTGGGGGTGCGTAGACTCTGACGATGGTGGCGAACTTACCTCCCTGGAGAAAAAGGCAGAGGCTTATTAGGCGATCGTTGATGCTCTGCGGCAGACAGGGCAGTCCTCCCACAACGTCGTTCCGGATAGCGAAGGCGATGCCCGCGTCCTGTCGTTCTGCCTTAGGCGGCCACTCCAGAAGAAGGTGTAGCCGGCACCCACCTCCTCCAGTTGGCCTTGTTCAGAGAACCGGGTCTCACTGAGTGCAGCCATATCCATCTTGTAGCACCTCAATTCACGAGGCATTAGCGCCGTCTTCCTTTCTCGTCGGTTGCTGGTCGGATTATCTATAAGGAAACGAACATTCCAGGCTGCCAGAGTGAGCGGACGCACCCTACTAGTCTGGCAAGTGGGGCGCCGGGAAGGGGGAGGGGGTAGGTAGAGAGTGTTATTTCTGACTTGACTGTTTCGACCGTGTGTTTTACGTCTGCGACCACGATCAGCCTGTAGGCGGCGTGGTTCCTCAGCATTCGTTTACGGTATCTTTTCTAGCCCCTTCCCCCTCGCGGGGTGAGCAGTGCTCCCCCCTAATTGGAGCTGCCCAGTTGTCCCAGACGGCTGCCGAACTCCACTATGGACCACGGCTTATGTTTAGTGGAAGAACGGGCCTGCCTGCGACATTGCCGTAGGACATGAAGGGGGAGGGGGTGGGGAAGGGGTAGAGAGACGGGATGCAGAGCTTTCCCGTCTCTCTCTAGGCTAACTGGTTGCTGAAATATAAACGTTGCGCAGACAAATTTAACAGAAAGCAATTTGGTTTGCAAGAAGAATAAACACTAACAAGGAGCCTTTGCTTCTACTTGTTCTTGCTTGCCTGTCCTTCGTCTATTTGTTTCTGTTTTGTATTTGCTGTAAGCTAACTGCCGCTCCTTTGAATCTGTTGGACACCGCCTATTTACTTCAGCAACCAATTCGCTTAGAGAAGGAGGGAAAGGGACAGAGGAAATTCGATGGAACGCATTTAGCATACAACAAGGACAAACAAAAACACGTAGACAGAATCCAGCAAGCAAGAACAGGCAAAGTAAAGACGACAGAGTAATGTCCGCTTACCTGGCGGCTCGCTTACCTTGTGGCCTCCTGCGGTGTTGCAGATGAAGCCTCATCTCGGAGAAACTCAGGCGCTGATGCATCCAGTCAGCAGAGCCGAGTTATGGTGTTCAGAGCTGCACATACGGATACCTTCACCTGGTCTAACCCGCCGGTCGAGGCGGTTAGTGGGGTGTGGCTGCTATGCAGAGCCTAGCTTCAAAAAGCCACATGTAAGAGTTGGGTGCCATTAAATGGACAGTAGGCGCAGTCTACACCTACTATGACCGTCACGTTGACCCACACCCCGGTGAGCCAGTCCCAGGAGCACCAGCAATCCCCCCCCCCTCCCCCCCCAGTCACCCTCGCGCCCACTGCCCGCACTGCCCATGCATATTTATTCTCCCCACGCATCTACTCGGCCACATGCGCAAATCTAGTGGTGGCTGTGATAGAGGAGAGGCATTGTGGACTCCATTCTGACGGCAATTCAGCACATTCCTCAGCGTGATAAGTCTGACGCGCATTTGAACTATCGGGAGGCACTAAACGTCGTGACCCTGGAGGCTGCCAACTGACGGCCCAACTCGGACCCTCTCTCAGGACGCAGAGTAAGGCTGCAATGGCGCCTTCTTAATATGGCCTCTATGGCACTCCCACTGCGGAGGGATTCGAGCCGTCCTTTGTGGTCCGTCATGCGCGGACCACGCCTGCGAGGTACGCGTTGGCGAACTGCCTTAATTTGCCACCTACGTGCTCGGTGTCCCCGTCTTGATACCAGGCAGGGGCGGGTGAGGGATGGCAGATGGGATAGATGCAGTGCAAGTCCACTACAAACCAATTCAGGTGATGATGATGATGATGAGGAGGAGGAGGATGAGGAGGAGGAGGAGGAGGAGTGGTAGGAGGGTGAGATCACTGGAACAAGAAATTTATTGGTCTGACGCTTCGGATTCTCACTCGAACCCATCAAGAGAGACGGTCGCAGATAAAAGCAGTAGGGGCACAGAGACTGCAGTATTTGTAGTACCACATGCCACATGCGTACTATAATTAACAGCCCTCGTGACCGCCGCTGTGGGTCGTAATAAAGGTGATGGTGGCTCGTCAGTTCGCGTCCGAGTCGTTAATTGCCACGACTTCATCATTTGTGTTGGATATTGACATGATGATTACTCGGCCATTTGAGCCGCTGACACCAGGGTACTTGAACACCCGCGCCCTCCCGACGTGACTGATTCCCCTGCTCAGGTAATGTCTCAGCACTGAATATGGTGCCGGGAGGTCATTGCGCTTGTTGATGGATTGCGGGGCTGAGAACCATGATTCGAGCAGCTCACGGCCCACGCGGTTGTCAGCTTCTGTGAGGATTTCGACCTCTTGAAACTTGATAATATGGGCGGGTTCTGTGCAATGAGCTGTTGTCTGAGAACGGCCGTCTTTCCTCCTCACCGCTGCCGCGCGCTCAGTCATTCGCATACGGAGTAATCTCCCAGTTTCTCCGACGTAGTTGCTCTGTCCGCAGCTGCACCATATCCGGTAAACGACTTCAGTCGTTTCCAGACGTGGCAGAGTCTTTCGGCCTCATGGCTTGGTGTCTGATGGTTGCTTCCAGCCTCTGTGCAACCCCAACTCCAAGTGAAGTGAGAAGGCAGCTGACGGCTTCCGAAACGTTCCTCACGTACGGAAGCGCTCACCAAAATTTAGTGCCGGTTAGATTTAGTCTACGGTCTCGTTTGCGTACGCACTGGTCAACAAAGTTGCGCGGGTAGCCGTTGGCTCCCAGTACCCATCGAAGATATTCCAATTCAGCAACCGTGTCTTCCATTTCACTGCGATGTGCCGCCACGCGCCGGTATAGCGTCCTTACGCAACTGCGTTTGTGATCGATCGGGTGGTTACTGTTGAAATTCAGTACTTGCGTCGTGTTCGTTGCTTTCCTGAACACTTTGGTTTTTAGACCACCACAATCTTTGTGGCAAACGAGGACATCCATAAAGACCGGCTGGTTGTTCTCTTCCTCCTCCATCGTAGATCGACTGTTCGAGAAGACGGTGTTGAGACGTTCTTTGAATATCAGCAAGCCATCATCCCTGCTGTGGGGCACTCGTTGGACATCCCCATGCGCGACGATCCAACTATTGTGCGTGAATGCGGTCTCGGCGTCCAACCATGTGCCTCAGTTTTTTCACGTCGCTGTCCTTACATTTTGCACTCTGTGGGCGTGGTTTTTCTCTCCGCTTGCTGGCCCTGCTCCGCTGAAGAGTTTGGCGCAACGGTGTGCTTCTGGCTTTTCTGTCGCCAATCCAAGTTTTTGTTTGCGTCTAACAAGACCGGCAGTGCTTCCTCCCGTGCAGTGGGAAAATTAAGATGTCGGTCGCAGTTGGTTGTTTTATGGCGGTCAAGGATGTGGGATTAACTTAAACCACGCACAATAAGTTCGTTTCGTCTAATTTCAGAAGTCAGGGTGCTATGGGGATTAGTTTATTCTATGCACAGGGCAGGTTGACGTAAGTTGGCTGTTTGCTTGCAACAGAGATAAGCGTCCGTTCACGGAGAGCGTCAGTCGCGGTGTGTTGTTTTCGCGGGAGTGTGTGTCTGGGTCAGCAGGAGGGGGTGACTGGCTGAATGTTGGTCGTGTGATTGGACAAATTAGGGGAGGAATAGGGGGAGGGGGGGCGCATACTCACAAGACCTCACGGGAATCAATCCAGACCGACGCGCATGTGGTGATGAAAGTTTGAGGTCAGCCGAGAGTCACTGCAGTTGGACCGGCGGTGTCTGAGTGTTAGCCGGCGGGGGTGGCCGTGTGTCAACAGCTGTCGCGGCCATCGTTCGACAAAACGGAGCCGGAGAAAAAGGGGAACTGGAGCGGCTGTTACAGTTTCGTTGTTGGACTGCTGTGGATGAAAGCTAGGCATATTTATACGCTTGCGGGAAAACCGTCTTTGTGATGACACCATTTATTCAGGAATGTTTTTATAATTTAATTCTGCATAGCCAATATTTTCAGGTGCTCAGGCGTGAAATTTATTTCCATACTTCTGCAATAAGTACCAAATTGGGAGTCTTGCCCCGGTTATGCTGCTTGAGGACGCATTGGGAGTTATAGTTAAAATTAAGGTGTCCGATTTCATAGAGGAATTTTGAGAAAGAAACAGCAAAAATAACTTATCCTATACTGCTCACCTGCCATTCTTCCTGCTTTGCTTAAAAACGATCTTTTAATTTTGAAACGAGTCCTCCGCATGCTCTCTTCTGCTGCTGCTGCTGGTATTTATTATCTTTTTTTAGTCGACGCTATCCTACAACGACATTTCAATAAGGTCAAGCAATTTTCTGGTCGGATTATAGATGACGTTGCCCATCCCTTGCATTCTGATCTTATTTCTGCGAAGTCTTCCCGCCCGATGCGCCGCAGCTTCCGACTTATATCATGTCGCACATGGGCTTATCGAGCTTCTGCATTGCCATTCCTAGCGCGCTATCTTACGTGCGAAGAGATAGAAATACAGAGGCTAAGACTTGAACTATCCTCATAATAATCGTTGATTTGTGTTAAAATTTGACTCTTGAATAATCTATTAACTTATTTACTGCCCATAGTGAATGGAGCCAATTGCTTGCTGAAAATGTTGAACTTATGATTTCAAAATAAAGCGACTTCCTCTCTTTCTCTCTGTCTCTCTCAGTACCACTTCAAGGTCGCAATCTGGGCTCGGTTTCAGTGACCCTCATTT